ACCTACCTACCTACCTACCTACCTACCTACCTACCTACCTACCTACCTACCTACCAACCTACCTAAATACCTACCTACCAACCCACCCACCAACTACAACACCCTCTTCCTCTTTCCCCTCTTCCCTCCCACCATTAACACCCTCCTCCTCTCTCCTCCCTTCCCCCTATCAATTACACCTTCATCCTCTCTCCTCCCTTCTCACCTACCAACTACATGTACAACACCCCCTTCCTTTCTCCTCCCTTCCTCAGTGGAGGCGGCAAAGATCCAGGTCCAGCTGTATGTCTCCAGCATCGACGCTGTCAACGAGGCTAGCATGGTGAGACCTACTGTTGTATTTGCCGTGATGTTGTATATTATGATTGGTCCCTTTTAAGCACAAGGGGGCTATCCCGAAAAATGCTGTTTTGAGAACATCGAAGGTAAAGATTTTGCCCCATGTTCAGTTTCTTTAAAAGACAGGAGAGTTTTCTCTATAACCAAACAAATATACACACCAATGAAACCAAAACTTCTCCTATAAGTCGGTCAATGCCCACTTTTGGTGTGGATCAAGATTTCTAGAAACCTGCTAAATCTGGGTTAGCCCTCTTGTCCTTTAAAGTGACCAATTCATCACTTGATTATAGTGACCTGCATGGTGGAAGTAACCCACCTCCTAAAGTATTTCAGCTGTCCAGATCCTGGCACATAACATGTTTTAATTGTCACTGGACATGCTGCAAATGTCCGTGAAAAGGTCAAATAAATATTATCGACACATCTTAGAGTGTTATCCACACACCAGAGGCGGCTATACAAGTGCAAAGGGTTCTGGCAAAACGTGGTATCGTCTCCTGGTGTGTTTTGCTACAAAAACTTTTTTATGCAAAAATGTTAACGTCTATGATAATATGCACAACGTTGAATCTCATTGCATAATGCAGGAAACAAACAGATTATCTACAGTTATCTCATTCAAACATCACATCGGACAGCATACATGGGTGACATGTTTCTCTTTGAAAATGCGGGATAATTTCCCTTAACATATAACCTAAGCCTCCCTGAATCCCCCAAGCTACTCAACATCAACCTGAATACATTACCAACTCTATCAAAACTGGCTATAATTGGTAAGAAGTGCCTCTACCTCCCTACAGCTTTGGGTGTAATGCGCATTCGAGCAAAAGAAAAAAGCTTCAAAGATTTTGTTTTTCCTGTGCGATAGTGCTCACTGAAAAGAGGAACGTTTTTACTTTTGATAACCGAAACGAAACCCTCCCTCCTTCGCTACTTCAATTCTCTCTTTAGCTGCTTTAGAAATCCCTCTCGGGGTTAGGAATCGCCAGTGTAGAAATATCAATGGTGAGGCCTCTTACATTTGGCGACGAAAGGCAGGAATAATCCGCCTTTCTTTGTGAATTCAAGTAACTTCGTTCGCTATTCACGTCCCTATAAAGTGAATCTTTGCGAACAGTGGAAAAAAACCAGGACTCGAGGCTTTTTCCTTTAAAAAAACAAAAAACAAAACGCGATACTCAGTTTCCTTGGCTGATTTAAAACATTCCTTGGCTCTTGAACATTAAACAAGATCCATTATCATATCCGTAAACACACACATGAATAAGGCGAGATTCCGAGCTGCCCATAACACCAAACATCATTTGTTGCTAATAATTTGATTAAAAGAAATTTTAAAAACAGAGAAAAGAATTTTGTGTTGTTCACACTTTCAGGTGGCTTATCGTCCATCAAGGATATTGGCCTAAGTCTATTAGTCAAAGTCAGCTGGTTTCACAGAAAGGACAAATTTGTGGCGGCTCTCAGAAACAAACCAAATTGAACCGGAAGTGTCAGATCTGAAGGGCCCGTTTGTGACACACAAAATGGGTTACCTTTGAGGAAAATCTTTCATGTAGCAATCAAATCGATATAATGAACAAACGATAAATCCCGTGAGCTCAAACAATTCCATGATGCTACAGAGACAGAATGGTTTTGACAAACGGGGAGAAATTGACATGCTATTTAGACACAAGCCTGCGTTGCTCTCTTCTCCCTTTGTTGGAAATCCGGATGTGTTGACTTCCCTCTTCAACGTCACAAACGAGTGTGACGTCATTGCGCTATTGTCTTCTAGATTTTTTCTTCCGCTGCCACTTCCCACTTCCCTGGGCAATCATCAGTCTCTGTTCTCCGCGGTGAAGAAGTCGATTTAGTCAAAGGGAATGGTTGGCGCGTGAACTGGATCTTAGGGGAAAGTTTAGAAAGCTACAAGGTGAAAAGAACAATGTTCTTTACTTTTCTATTGTAATTCTTTCACGCAATATTTGCCTTGTCATCTCCACAGAGAAATAGTATAGCTAGAAAATCTTGTCCTGAGTTCTGGATAGCTGTCCGCCATGTTCTTTGTTTGACAGCCCTAGTTTTTTTCTACAAGGGAGGGACAAAGAACAGCCTGACGTCATAGGCAAAAAATGTAATACAACTGAGAATTTCTCTGGGGTTTTGCCTGTTCTACTATAGTGCAGCCAAAGATTCGTGGCGCAACTTATCCTCAAATCATTCTTTTTAACGGGTGAATCAATGTCAACCATACTTTGCACAGCAGTTTGTCTCAATTTGTCTTAACTTAGTCATATTTTCCAACTACAGTTGAGGCTAGATTAAACAAACTTTTCTTCATAAATTTTATATATAATACTACAAACCTCATTCATGTGGAAAATGGGAATTGTTCACACCACTTCCCGCTTCTAATCCACGTTTTGTATACGCATATGGCCTACATCACAGCTCACCAATGATACTTTTTAGTGGCAAAACTAGTTGCAAGAAATTAATTTTATAGTAAACTCTGTTTTGCATTAGAAGTTCTCAAAACATGCGTTCAATACAGATAATTTCGCGATTACAAAAAAATGACAGACTTGTTTTTAAAAGCGATATCGTCCCAGCAGTAAACCTTTTAAAATTAGTAGAAGCCACCCACTAGGATTTTTTATTAGTAGGTCTATTTATTAAGGAATTTTCTAGAATAGAGCTAACAGGTCTTTTCAAAAATATTGATCTGTTAAGACAAATTGATTCAAGTCACTGTGCAAATGCTGGGGAGTTTATGTTCAATAGTAGAGGACATATTTGACAATAAGTTGCGCCACAAATTTTTGACCACACTCTACATCCTATATGATAACCCAGGGTCAAACATAGAGTACGTACATACAGGGGCAACCGGCGACAGCGAGTCAGTTATCTGTGTCGGTGGGGAATTGTGGGAAATATTTCTGGACGCTGTGTGCTTGTGTATGTAGATATGCATTTATCACAAATGATAAAGTATTGGATTTTCTTTTTTCTTTTGTACGTATTTTTGACCCCGGCAACACAAAATTTATGCCATCAGAAAATTAGATGCTTTGAGATTTAATTGGAAAGTCAGGTACCAAAAAGAGAAAGAGAGATAAGGACACAGATGTTTGAAAGGAAAAAATGAGCAGGCCATACCAGAGCATGCGAAAACCAACCACCCACTGAGCTGAAATTTAATGCTTTTTCAATACAGCCATAAAAAGGACAAGATAGGGTTATTGTGGGCGTATTGTGAGAACGCTTTCCTTCAGAGGAGGTGCTCAGGGACAGACTAGCGTGGCGTTGACTTGTCCTCTGCCTTGTGCGTGTGTGTGTGTGTATGTATGTGTGTATGTGTGTGTGTGTGTGTGTGTGTGTGTGTGTGTGTGTGTGTGTTTGTGTTTGTGTTTGTGTCTGTGGGAGTATTTGTGTTTGCGTGTGTGTGTGTGTGTGTGTGTGTGTGTGTGTATGTGTGTGTGTGTGTGAGTGTGTGTGTGTATGTGTGTGTGTGTGTGTGAGTGTGTGTGTGTATGTGTGTGTGTGTGTGTGTGTGGGTGTGTGTGTGTGTGTGTGTGTGTGTGTGTGTGTGTGTGTGTGCAATACCTAACTGTGCCTGACACTACAAACCCACAGTTCCTGCATAAACAATGAAAAGAACAATTATAATATTGTTGCTTTTGTTTGATCTTGTCTTTAGTTATTATTGAACATTAACAACTCGGTACCAAATAACTACAAAGTTCTATCTACCCAGTACCTAGTTTTGAGAAATTTGACGTTCAAATTTTTTATATTCACAATATGTCGTACGTTTTCGAATACAATTCTTCGAATATCTTGATAACACGACTCCAAACAATAATCTAACGATTTTGATGGAGAAGATAAAACATTTTGTTTCTGACCTCGTAGTAACTCAAAACGGCCTACAATGTCAGATAGAACTTTGTAATTCAAAAGTAGTGATTTGTTTTATTTTGCTTTTAGTTTCTTACTTGTTACTTGTAGGAAGGACCGACATCACTGCACACAAGGGGCATTCCCATAAGCGCCCCGTCCCCTGAAAAAAGCACATCTCGAAGTGTGTAGATGTTGACGAGTTCCAAGCAATGGTTGATTCCATAGCTTTTAGTTTCTATCGACCTTTAATACAATTACTGTTAATGAAAAATCCCCAGGATTTCGTGGTCGGCATTTTTCTCCATCTACGATGGACCGACTCTCGCTGCGGAGAATTTTCTATGAAGATGTTCGACAAGAAATGTTTCAGCATAATGGACTTTCAAAATTTTGAGTTTCACAATATGTCAAACTTTTTCGAATGCATTTCTTTGAATATCTTGAAAACGACTAAAAAAACCCATACGGTTTTGACTGAGCAGGTAGAACATTGGTTTCTGACCTCATGGTGTTAGTAACTGAAACCAGCCTACAATGTCAGATAAACTTTGTAATTCGAAGATTGCTATTTGTTTTTTTTTTACTTTAAGTTTCTATCGACCTTTAACAAAAATTAATGTTAATGATAAATCCCCAGGATTTCACAGTCGGCATTCTTCTCCATCTACGATGGACCGACTCTCGCTACGGAGAGTTCTCTAAGAAAATGTTCGACAAGAACGGCTTCAGCATGATGGACTTTGACTCGGAGAACATCAAGAACGTGTGGGTGCCTGACATCTTCTTTCCCAACGAGAAGAAGGGCTACTTTCACGACATCATGAGCAAGAACCAGATGATGAGGCTGTACAGAGGAGGCGAGATCCTCTATATCTCCAGGTGATGGTTTGTCCTGTCTTGTCTTGTCTTTTCTGTCTGTCTGTCTGTTAGTCAGTCTGTCTGTTTGTCTGTCTGTCTGTTTATTTGTATAGTTGCTTGAACGGTTTCAACTCTCTTTCTCTCCCTGCACCCCCCCCCCAACC